GGCGGGCAGGGGGGCACTGGCGGCCTGGGAGTCAGCGGGGTGCCGGGCGGGGGCGCGGGCTCCCTCTACAGCGACGTCAGCACCGGCCTGACATGGCGGTCTGGTACGGCCAGCTCCGTGTCTTATCCTAAGCAGATGCCATTGTCCCAGGTTTGAGGGAGGGGAGCGAGCACCCGGAAGGAATGGGGAGGGGAGCGAGGGAACAAGTGCTGGGAAGGGACACTCGAGAGGCTGAGGTTCCCACCCCTTAACCGTGTTGATTGCTATTAGCATGATAATGAACTCTTAATGGTATCCATTAGCTGGGACTTAAATGACTCGCCTAGAACAAAGTACCTGGCATTGAAGGCTCCCAGACCCGGCCTCCTTTCCTCCATTGATAAGTGAGGCGCCCTTCCCACAAGGCGTTAATTTCTCTTGGCAGAAGAGGGTGGACTGTGCTGCCCGTCCAGGATCCCAGGTTTGGAGCCCTCACTGGTTGTCATTCGCTGAGCGTGAAGCCAGATCTACACATTTTTCTCCCTGACTCTCCTAGGTAAAACTTCAACTCCTACCATCTAGAGGAGCGATTACCGCCACGAAGGGATTGCACGGTTTGGGTATTCTTAATGACCAGGCAAATGCCTTAAATAAACAAACAGATGTCTTAATTATACACCCCTAGTAAATACGGGTTCCTTCCATTAGATGATGTATTTATATAATTATTGTTAAATTGTAAAAATGTGTAAAATATGTACATATTCAAAGATATACCGTCTGTACAATTTTGTAAAAAGTTTAGAGGCCACCCCTGTACAAACAAATTATAAGTAATCTATTTTGTCAATAAAATGACTTTTGATAAATGATTTAAACATTGCCCCCTCCCCTTGCCTCTTCCAAACTGTTACTTTAAAGTGCTTGGGAAAAAGGACATTTTTCTGGCTTCTCCACTGTACACCAACTTTAGGCATGGGGGAAAAAATACCTGTTGAATTATATTTCTTAAGTATTTCATTGTTGAACTGAAGTCAAAATCGAACATTTGCACCTACCCAAAAGGTGGTGTTTTTAATGGTAGCTCTTTTCTGATCCTGGGCTAGCACCTCTTCCCTCAGTGGCTGGTAATGGGATTTGCCAGGCAGTGATTCCACTCAGGCCTAATTATTTATGTTATATAATGTCACTAAAGACTTCAAACCCCTACATTCATTTCTCTTATTCGTATTTTTTAAAAACACCTATTTGACCACTGCTGAAGCGTAGGGACTAATATTTTATTCCACAGAGGACACAGTATAAGTCACTCAACAATCTGGTAGAGCTGGTGCTCTGTAATGGGTTAACATCTTAATAACCTTCCAGGCTTGTGTATATCAAATGTGCTGCTTTTCCTAGAGAAAAAGCTATTGTTCCTCTGTCAAGACTAAGCTAATTTATTTGAGCAGAAGGCTGTTGAATTAGCAGAAGAATGCTTTGGCAATTGTTGAACTTTTTACCTGTCTGCCTAGTGGCTCAGCACATCATTCCTTTAAGAGGAGCTAAATGAATAGGGTTAATCTGTAGGGAACTTGGTCTTTTGAGTTTGAAAAACTTTGATCTTTTCTCCTCTCCAAATGTGCTGTATAGTCTGAAGTTTCTTTCCCTGCTGCCCCGCTCCTCTTGGTGCAGACCAATTGGCCACCGCGGAGCCTTAAAGTTCTCCCATTAAAGGGATGTGGGACTTTTACTTTAAAAAAGAGAGCTAGTGAGGGAGAGGAAGACTTGTAACAGTTAGTGAAGACCAGAGGCCCAAGTGCACTCAGCCTTTTAAACAGCTTTTCCTGGCATTGTTAGCCAGCCTGCAGGCAGCTAGGCATGGGTTGAAGCATTATAGAAAAGGGCTCTGAATGCCCCACAGGTGGTCTGAGCACATAATCCCCCAATTTAAAGCGTTTTCCTTTGCTGGACAATTGCATTACAAAACTCCCTTCTTTTTCGCTCCTAATTGAACCAATGAACTATTATAAACTACAAGTTTTTCTTAAAAAAGAAAGAAAGAAAAAAAAACCCTCACTACCGAAATTCTATTGACCAAATTCTGGCAAATTTTCTGAACTAGATCTTTTAAAGCACCGGAAGTAAAAGCTTCAGCAGACATTTCTCTTTTTTCAGATATTTTTTTGCATGCTTGTTATCTTCTGACAGATTAGCAATAATTTAAAAGTAATTGGTAAGGTTGTGTATTCATACTGAAAAGATAGCCCCAGGTCCCTTATTAACCTGTCAATCAACATAAGAAATGGGCAACTACCCTGCTAATGATGGGGGCATAAAACATTGTAGGGTGGGAGGGGACCTGTTCTCTGCATCCTGCTAAAATGTTTGTTCTCTTTACTTTTCCTAATAGGAATATTTAGTGGCTAAAAAAAAAAAAATGAATGAATTGGATGGAAACTACTTCTTGACTGATCTTTCTCACGTAGAGGTTCTTAAGAAGAGTTTCTTGGTAGAAACATTTTGCAAATCCTTCCCAGAGTCATTCTTGGTGTTAATTGGATTTTTAAAGTTAGATGTTCAATAAGAACACCTACTTTAGATATCATGCTGATTTTATTTTTTTTAAGTCAGAGGCATTGTAAAATCGCTTAGCAGTTTGATTCACTTAAGAATTACTATTTTGTAACTTCAGTATCAGTAAGTGGCTACATCCAACCTATATAATGACTCATTTATTGTAATGTATGTAAGTCAGCCATAAACTTTACATTTTCAGTTATAAAGGAGAATTATAAGGACGGTTCCTGTGGGTCTTCCTCAGTATGTGATGGGAGAGAGCTCAAAATCACTAGCACTGTAACAGTCTTCTCATTAGTGACACATTTTCAGCTGTGTGACACAGTGGGAAATGGTCAATTGGCCCTGGTGGCCAATTGGTCTTTTTGAAGCCTTTTTCCTTAATAATTCAATATATCGTTGTAAAATACCATATTTGGTAACTAAGATGGCTATAAGTGTGCTTGACATTCAGAGGACTTGTAATTATTATCAACTAAAGACTGATTTTAGGGACTGATATTAAACACAAGTGCTGATTTTTTTAGTCTTTACAACTAAAACTTGAGTTACAAAGTTGTCAATATCTAAATGGGTCTACTAATGAAATAAAAACCCAAAATTGATTTTGGAGATAGAAAAGGGAGATGGAAAGTTTTCTATTTGGCCATTTGCATTAGATGAATGAATGGATCCCTTGCCAGAACACCCTTTTTGTACTATAGAGATGTGCCCTTAATTACTATCTGAAATGGGTGTTTTGAAAAATCTTGTCAGAAATGGGGTTATTGTGTGGCTAAAAGATCAATGTAAATAAAGTAATATGGTTAACACCATTAGTAAAACCAAAGCTCATTAAAATTACTTGTAGAAGATGTTATATGAAACACTTTCTCTTTGCTTTAAATAAGTGCAATTTGAAAGTAGAAAACAGAAGGGAAGAAGGTTTATAAGGAAATTAAAAGGTGACAAAGCAGTTTCTTAACCTGCATTGATAGCATTGCGCGTTCCTGTAATTCTTCACAGTTTGGGAGAAGGAAATCAACTCTTTCACTAACTTGTGTGAAAGTAAAATCACAGAGAGACTCAGCAAAGCACAGGATGCAATTTATAGGTGTAAACACTCCCTTAAGACTACAAACACATCTCATGCACATACAGAGCTTTCCACGTTCGGTGCTATACTGCCACCTTGCGGTACCATAAAGTTCCAGGGCCAGGAGGATGGCTAGATCCCTTCATCCAAAAATACAGAGCAAGGGAGGAGGAGATGCTGGTAGAAGGAAGGGGATAAAATAATTGCACTGGAGTTTTGATGGGAGGTAAATGAAGCACAAATTCATAAGAAGATATGAAGTTATATTTCCCAAATTATAAAGTTACGGAAATGACTAAAAGATTTTTTGTGTGTGTTTTATTTTTTAATTACAAGAAGAAAAATAAATACTGCACTCCCACACTGCTGGCCTTTATCCCCAGCACAGACTGATCCTGCGGTATTCAAGCACTTTGTGTTCATAATTTTGCTTTCTTTTAAGAACCCCAAAACCGCCATCAGTTTAAGGTCCCAATATAACAGTTCTTCAATATAACAAGTCTTCAATATAACAGTTATGATAAAAAGATAGTTCAACTATACTGAAGTCCACACTTCTATCTTCTTTAACTTTAGAGTTAATTTTCTTTGGAGAATGGACTACTTGCCAAAGAGTTCATCATTCCCAAACTTTTGATGGAAGAAAGAACCAGGAAGAATATTTTGAGGTGGCACGTAGTTGATTTACCATTTAAATGGGCTCCTTTACAATTTCCCAGAGGGAGCACATCCTCTCAGTTCAATAGATATGCTTCAAATGCTACACACCAGTGCTCCTGGGTTGGTTGGGAGGCAGGCATTTCCCGTCCCCCTCCCCTTGTCCAGCCAGGTATTTGTGGAAACACCAAAGAATAAAAACTGCACTGAGAAACAGGATTAGCCCAAGGGAAGAGAGCAGGGAACATTACTCTGAGAGATGATTTCCACAGCATGTGATGTGAAAAGAGGTCATCTAAAAAGCTCTCACCTGAACACTTGATTCTGAGGATCAAGAAGAATCAGAATGGCTAGTGGGGTGGAAAGCAAAGAGCAGGCACTGGCAGAGAGGATTTATCAAGAGATAGGCAGAGCATGGCCTAGAAGACACGATCTAGCTTGTCACTCCTCTTCCCCTAGGCCTTTGCTGGCTGCCTGTGGAAATCCCTGAGACCACCTCTAGGTATTCATACACGAACGTCAAAAGACCAGATCTGAGTTCCCTACTTACAGAATCCTACCAGAGCACAGGGTCGCCAGGGTTCTGTGCCAGCCTACACAGGAAGAAACACAGCCTGAGAGGCTGCCAGGTTAGCTTTGGGAAGGTTTTTACATTGGCACTCTGGTTGTCTTAGGCCAGATCCTCTGCTCTTTGCTGTCTGGTCTCCAGTAATACAACTAACAGTTAACACTTGTTAATACAGTTAACAAGTTCCTAGATGATACAAAATACCCAAGGACATGGAGTCTGCTAATTCGGTGAAGAAGAAGGTCTCCTGGAGGAAAGAGAGGAGTCCCTACTGGGGGAAGGGACCAGAGTGGAAACGACTCCTGGGTTCAGCAGAGTCTGGGAGCTCTTCATGGAAAGACTGACTAGCACCACTGAGAAAGGTGAATAGGGTCACTGGGAAAGACAGGGAGTCTGGGGTCCCAGAGGAACCTTGTAGAAATCTCTGGATTGGAAGAACAAACCAAAAAGATTAGTAAGCTGGTTTATATCCCAGACCCCTAAGAGGACCTCAGAGGATACTATACCCCCCAAAATGGGAAGAGTGAAAGAATGGAAGTAAAGGAGAATCAACAGGGTTAAGACCACAGGCAGCTTGAACTGAGTGACTCGAGTTTAATAGTTTTCCAGCCTTGAGAACCACTATTCACAAAGGACAAAGGTACCTATTTATACTGCCTATTTAACACTCTGGTGAATCATACGCTAATTTAAATTAGAAAAACAATTTTCAGTTGCTTATCCCTTAACCAACCTGTTTCTAATTAACTACACCTCAGTGGTAGTTCTCACCCAGCCTACACTTTAGAAGTGGTTGTTTCTTCTTATAATAGCAGCACGCTGGCAGCACCATGGACCAAATGAATCAGAATGCTTGGAGATGGATTCTGGGAATTCAGTTTTCTAAAACTACTCCAGCTAATTCTAACATGTAGCCATAGGTGAGAATCAGTGAAATATAATTAAAAGTAGTGTAATGATGTAAAATGATACAAATATACAAATACAAAAACTATTGTCATCCAACTTGACTAAGTGGAGATGGTTGTTTTTTTTTTTCCTTTTTGTCACTTTAAGTACATATTTGGAAGAGGATAGGAAGGCCGTCACCTGTTCCAAAGGGAGAATTTCACACTTTGTTGTTTTGATCTGAAGAGCTCAGTACACAGAGCAGTTTTAGATAACCCTGTTTTTCTTTCACTTGAAAGGAATAAGTAACTGTATATATACCAGGTATGATTCTATTAAGCTGAAAATCAAACCCAATCTGTGAACCTACATGTTGATGTAAAAAGTAGTAAAAATATTTACAATGTTCATTTTGTTCAGTAGACGCTTGTTGACTGAAATCATCTTAGCTAGAAATGAAGGTCCATCCTGTAGTGACCTACGACCAGCAGAACTTTCCGAGAGGTGATTTTTCATGTTGTAGTCCCAAAGGTAGGTACCTAACGGGACAGCTTGTTGACTGGGATCCTTGATGTGTCAACATGTATATCTTTTAAAGGAAACTGATAATATGTTAAGCTAGAGCTTTGCTTAAAGTTTAAAATTTGGGGGTGGAACATTTTTTCAGTTCAGAAATCTGCCCTTCTCTGGGTACCATGAGAGAAGTGTTAAGTCCTTACCCAAAAACCCAGAAAGTAGGATTCTTTTCCTCATGCAAACTCAGATTTCCTGACTCTACAAAAGAGGGTTTTAGATCTCAACTGTTACATCTCATATTAACTCTGTAAGGAAAAGTCTAAGCAAAGGGTTAAATGTCACCCATGACAGGGATACACACTTCTCATAATACCATCAAAGAGCATCTCTTCACTCTACTTAAGGACAACTAAAAAGAGACTATCATTTAATCATTCTGGAAATGTAATGAATGTTATTTTCACTTGATTAACTTAGAGAATTGCCAGTAAGTTGCAGAAAGCCAATAACATGGAGACGTTAAAAATATAGACTATGGAGACTTCCGGAAGATGGCGGCAAAGTAAAGACGCCGAGATCACCGCGTCCAAGCAGGCGTAGGAATTGAGGACCGAAAACGGACTATAGACTCACTTACTACAAGTTTTAACCCAAACGAAAACACCCTGGACTCACTAGAAGGTAGATAACTGCGAGGGA